CTCCCCCACTGGCCCCAACCCGTCCCCCCACGCCTCAGGTCTTCCTTCGGTCCCATCTCTCCAGCAGGCCCCAGAGCTGGAGCGGGTAGATCTTCCATTTAAAACTCCTCATCCGCGGCTCACTGGGGAGTTTCTTATTCCCTTTCAAATGTAACTGTCTGTCACCAATGATAGTCTTTTTCGATTTCATTTCCTTCAGCTCCTGCCAGCCACTCTGAGATCCTCCTCCCCATCCCTGCTGCCCGCCCCGCTCCCAGCCTCAAGTCAGGGAGAAAAAAAATACATTTTTGCCTTTACTATGATGTATGTGATCCCATAAAATAGTGAAACAGATATGAAAGGTTGAGAGAAGGTAGATAAATGGCTCCTATTATTCTACCAATCAAATGAAATACCTCTCCACGTCCTCATTTGAATGATAATAAAACTCAGAGAGGCTGCTGGTTCGCTGTTGTCATCGCTGTTGTCATCACTGGCAGCAGCTCCAGCCCAGAGCCACAGGCCAAGGTAACCTTGGGGTGTCCTCTGCAGCCGGCAGGGGCCTGCAGCCCCCATCTCCTCGCCTCTCCCCTACCCAGGGCTCCCTCTACTCCTGCTCCCATCCTCCTTTCCCTGCCCAGCCACCCCAACCCCAGCTCACCCACCAGACACTTATGCACCTGTGTGCCCAGCCCCCAGCTCCCTCTAAGGCCCCCAGGGCAGAAGCAGGGAGCAGGATAAAAAGCCGCCCACCCCCCTCCCCGGAATGCCCTCTTTCTCCACCACAGCCTTTCAGCACCCTTCCCAGCCTTCCCTGCCCAGACCTCCTCTGAAATCCCCCAACCTCCGATCGAGGCCAACTACCTGTCCTGGACATTCCCATGCCACTGGCCTCACGCCTCAGTGACAGGTCTGTAACCTGTGTCTTGTTCTGTCTCCAGTCCAGGGCACATCTGTCTCCGCTGCTTAACTCTGAATTCCTGAAGTCAAGGCCATGTGAGATGGGCTTGGCAGCAGCCTCACAGCCTAAACACGTACTCAGAGTCTCGTCCATCCCACCTACATTGACCAAACACGCATGGAGCCTCTTCTAGGTTCCGACGCTGTGTCAGCAAAAGATCAGGTGGGCATCCCTTCCTGAGGGCGGCTCCTCCGTGGGTGCAGAGTGCAGATAAGGCCACCTCCCCCTCTGAGCCCTACAATCCCAGAACCTTCCATGCTTACAGTTCAGTTTCCCATGGATTTGCAGAGCCTCCCGTGAGTCCCTGCCTGACAACTAGGAGACAACTGTGGCTTTTTCTTTCTCTGTTTTCCTCTACTTTTTAGGAAAGTAGAAGAAAGACTCACTCCCTCCCCACCACACACAGACCTGGTGGGCTGTCAGTCATGAGCCCTTGTACCCTGGTTGGTACTGGCACAGGCCAGTGAGGCCAGGCACACCCCTCTCTGAGATTTTGACTCTTCAGCAGAATTTTTCATCCTGATGGCCACACCCTAGAAAGACTTTCCTTTAAGTTCTCACTACTTAGACCCCCCAGCACTGCCCTAATTTCTGTCCTTTCCTTCCAATAAATTCCCCTTGCTTAAGGTGGCCAAGATCAGTTTCTGGCCCAAGAAGTGATCGAGGTCTGAACAATGCCCTAGCTTGCCTCCAGGACATTGGGACTTGCTCCGTCATCTTGCCCAACTGTGACATCTCATTGCCCTGCCCCTCCCCATTAGAACAGGACCCATCCGAATTGGCTCCTCCACCTGTCTCCTCAGCACCAGGGACAGTGCCTGACCACAGGAGGTAGTTGACAGGTAAGGATGCCCATTTTAGAGATGAGGAAGACTAGCCCCAGAGGCAAGCGGCAAGTCAGGATCCAAATCTACATCTCCTCTTCCCTAGGCTGGGACTCCGCCCTCTGCACTGGTTGCTCCTAAATACGATGCTCTCTCTCCTGGGTTTCTTCAAGTCAAGGAAAGTCTGGGAGATGAGTCTCCTGAGAGATGAGCCAGAACTGAAGGAGTGAGCATAGTCAGCAGGGTTAACCGTGAGCAACAGAACACCCCCAGAGTGCACTGGGAGGCTGCTGGGCAGCTTGCTGAGCTAACTGCTGGCAGGACGTCCCGGCCTGGAAAGGGCCCAGAGCAAGGGTTTCTCGGAGCCCGCGCCAGCCACTTCTCAGTCCTTGTGTCAGAACTACCTCTTAGCTCTGGGTCAGAGATGGTCTGGTGATCCCCCTTTGGCCAGGGTGAGGCTTCTGTGGGCAGTCCCCACTAGGCTGCACGTGATGGAGGAGGTGGACCACCAAGAGTAACAAACGGCCCTGTCACCTTCAGCAAGGAGAGCAGACTTGGGCAGCCGAAGCCCCACAAGCTAACAAGCCAGGCCCCCCAGACTCTGTCACTCCTGGTTCCGGCCCAGCTTGGACCCCAAGAGCTGCTTTGAGCCTGGCCCCATTGCCCAGGCTTCCAGCAAGGTTAGGATCACAGGCGTGGAGAGCCGAGGGCTCCTGGAGGGGAACCTGAGGCCCGTGAAGAGGCAGTGACAGAGCCCAGGTCCTTCCCAGCCTAGCATGGGGC